GTGGTCTATGGGGGCTCCACCGAAGGACCCAGTGACACGGTTGACGTACGCCCCCCCGCCCAGTTACTCGACGCGGGGCTCCCCATAGGTGCAACTCATTACCTTGGTGAATATTTCTCTTGATATCTGTCAATGAGCGCCTGTGTGCGAGGGCGAATCGCTCGCTCGAGACATTCCCACAGTCTGCAAGCATGAGTGTGACCAGTGGCAAATCTGAGAGCGACTGATTCTGAGTGTGAGTTAATCTGGGTGCGATTGAGCCGGGGTTTGAGTGGGTATGCGTGTGAGTAAATATGAGCGCGAGCGCGTCTGTGTGCGAGTGGGTTTGAATATGGACGAATCTGAGTGCGAGCCAGTCTGTGATTGAGCGGATCGTAGCACGATGAGTCTGATCATGAATGAGTCTGGGCTTGAGTGGGTCTGAGTGCGAGAAAAAGTGTGTGTGTGTGTGTGTGTGTTAATGAATCTGAGTGCGAGTGAGCCGAGTGTGATTGGGTTTGGATGTGAGGCAGTCTGAGTGTGAGTCGGTTTGCGTTTGAGCGGACCGAAGGATGATGAGTCTGAGCAGGAGCGAGTCTGAGTATGAGTGGTTCTGAGCGTGTGACTGAGTGTGATTAAGTTTAAGTATGGATATGAGCGAGTCTAAGTGCGAGTGAGCCTGCGTGTGACTGAGTCTGAGTATGAGTGAATATGAATGCAGAAGAGTGAAGGAGAGCGGAGAGCGAAGGAGAGTGAGGCGGAAGCGTGTTAGTAAAACTAAAGCTTTGGAACATCGAACCTCGATCGTCTGGTCCTGGCTACTCGAGTTGCCCACGTCCTCCTCCTCCCCTCCTCCTCCTCCTCCCCCTCCTCCTCCTCCTCCCCATCATCCTCATCATCATTCTCATCACCACCATCATCATCATCATCATCATCATCATCATCATCATCATCATCATCATCATCATCATCATCATCATCATCCCCTTCCTGCTTCTGCTCCTACCGTGTTCATGCTGTCCTCTTTCTCCTCCTCCTCCTCCTCGTCCTCTTCCTCCTCCTCCTCGCTTCCTCCTTTTCTTCCTTCTCCTCCTCCTCCTCCTCCTCCTCCTCCTCCTCCTCCTCCTCCTCCTCCCCCTTGGGAGTGCTGAAACCAGCAAATCGCCTGAGACATCCTCCCAAAACTGTTCCGAAAACGACAGGTGCCCAGCATCATAACGGCCAAATCGCCTGAGACATCCCCGCAAACTGGGCGCGAACGTCCTCCAAATCTGCTCCGAAAGCGAAACATGTTGGAAGAGAAAATGGCCAAACCGCCTAAGACATCCCCACAAAATCCCGCGAAAGGGGCCGAGTGAAATACCCCCCCCGCCGCTCCCCTTAGAGTGCTGAAACCAGCGAATCGCCTGAGACATCCTCCAAATCTGCTCCGAGAGCGAAGCGAAACATGCTGGAAGAGAAAATGGCCAAACCGCCTGAAACATCCCCACAACATCCCGCGAAAGGGGCCGAGTGAAATACCCCCCGCCGCTCCCCTTAGAGTGCTGAAGCCAGCGAATCGCCTGAGACATCCTCCAAATCTGCTCCGAAAGCGAAACGTGCTGAAAGAGAAAATGGCCAAACCGCCTGAGACATCCCCTCAAAATCCTACGAAAGGGGCCGAGTGAAATACTCCCCCGCCGCTCCCCTAAGGAGTGCTGAAGCCACAGAATCGCCTGAGACATCCTCCAAATCTGTTCCGAAAGTGAAACATGCTGGAAGAGAAAATGGCCAAACCGTCTGAGACATCCCCACAAAATCCTACGCAAGGGGCCGAGTGAAATACCCCCCCGCCGCTCCCCTTAGGAGTGCTGAAGCCACAGAATCGCCTGAGACATCCTCAACATCAGTGTGTGTGTGTGTGTGTGAGTCATCCGATGAGTGGACCTGAGTGAGTGTAGTGAATGTATGAGTACAAGTACGAGTGAGTCTGAGTGATGAGTGAGTCTGAGTGATGAGTGAGTCTGAGTGATGAATGAGTTTGAGTGATGAGTGATGAGTCTGAGTCATGACTGAGTCCGAGTGATGAGTGAGTCTGAGTGATGAGTGAGTCTGAGTGATGAGTGGGTCTGAGTGGTGAGTGAGTCTGAGTGATGAGCGAGTGGGTCTGAATGAGAGGAGTGGTGTGTTCTCTCTCCTCTGGCGCCGTCCGCCAATAACAAGAACCCCATATTTAGGATATGGGGAAAAAACGCGTCGCAGCCCAAAGGGAGCCCCACTGAAGGCCCAAGCCGCAGGGTTGACATAAGACTCCCCCATGCAGTTCAGCGCTTCGTGGCCCCACAGGGAGGCCCCAGTGGCACGGCTCAAATGCGTCTAACCCACACAATAAAACGTTTCGTGGCCCCATACGCAGATCGACCGAAGGCCCCGGTGTCGATGTTCACATGCGTCTCCCCCGCCCAATACAACGCTTCCTGGCCCCATAGGGAGCTCCACCAATGGCCCCAGTGGCAAGGTTTTCATGTTTCTCCCCCCACCCAATAAGACGTTTCGTGGCCCCATATAGGGAGGCAGGGTTTACGTGCGTTCCCCCCGCCGATTACAACGTTTCGTGGCCCCATAAGGAGTTCCACCGAAGGCCCCAGTGGTAAGTTTACATGCGTCTCCCCTGCCAGGTACAGCTTTTCCTGGCACACGGAGAGAGCTCCACCGAATGCCCCGGTGGCAAGATTACATGCGTCGCCCCCACCCGATGTAGCGCTTCGCGGACCCATAGGAAGCTCAATCGAAGGCCCCACATGCGTCTCCCGCACCCAGTACTACGTTTCATGGCCGTAGGGAGCTCCACCGAAGGCCCCAGTGGCAAGGTTTACATGCGTCCCACCCGCCCAGTATAGCGTTTCGTGGCCCATAGGTAGCTCCACCGAAGGCCCCCGTGGCAGGATCGACATGCGTCTCCCTGCTCCATTTCGGCACGCCCCGCGTGGCCCCATAGGGATCTCCACGGAAAGT